ACTCAGCAGACTGGCTGAGACACCACAGGGCGAGACAGAGTCCCTCCTGGGGGTGGCATTATTGGGTCCTCTCACACTGTTGCTGCTCAGGGGAGTGGTCTGCCTGAGCCAGGTGACTGCGGCCGTATTGGGGAGGAGTCAGCACTGGGATCCTGCCAGCTATTCTCTCTGTTCTCTCCCCAAAGCCTCCTTCCCCAGTCTCTCCTCAGCTGTCTCTAGCCCACTATGTTGCCGCCTTTGCCGGAGGCCAGGGTGAGTGGCAGTTAGATAGTGTTAAAGCTGATTCTTCTGTCTGTCCGAGGTTATAAGGCTCCTCTCTCACTATTGTTGAGTTGTTTGTTCCAGGTGATTTCTCCACGATTTAGTTGTAATTCCTGTTTTGTCCTGAGAGGAGGTCAGTGTGACTTTCACTTACTCCTCTACCACCTTGATTCTTCATTTTTAACTATTTGAGGATCCTCCATACTGTTTGCATAGTGACTGCACCAGTCTGCATTCCCACCAACAGTGCTCAAGCGTTCCCTTTTTATACCTCCACACTGTCACCAACACTTGTTGTTTCCAGATTTATTGATGACAGCCATTCTACCAGGTGTGATGTAATACCTCTCTGTGGTTTTAACTTGCATTCCTCTGATGATTAGTGGCATTGACCATCTTTTTGTATGTCTGCTGGCCATCTTTATGTCCTCTTTGGAGAAATGTCTATTCTGGTCCTTCCCCCTTTTTTAATTGTATTGTGTGGAGTTTTCGTTGGTGTGGTAGTATGATTTCTTTATAAATCTGTATATTAACCCCTTATCAAATGTATCATTGACAAATAACTTCTTCCATTCAGTAGGTTGTTCTTTCACTTCGCTGATTTTTTTTTTCTGTGCAAAAACATTTTAGTTTGATGTCATCCCATTTGTTTGTTTCCTTTGCCCAAGAAGCTGTATCAGGAAAAATATTGTTAAGAGCAATGCTACAGATTTTACTGCCTATGTTTTCTTCTAGGAGTTTTATAGTTTCAAGTCTTACATTTAAGTCTTTAATCCATTCTGTGTTTATTCTTATATATGGTTTAAGAATGTGGCCTACTTATTTTTTGGCATGTATTTATCTAGTTTTCCCAACACCATTTATTGAATAAAGTATCTTTATGCTATTGTATATTCTTGCTTCCTTTTTCAAATATTAATTGGCCATTTAGTCATGGGTTCATTTCTGGGCTCTGTATTCTGTTCCATTGACCTATATGTATGCTTTTATGCCAATACCATGCTGTTTTTATTACTGTGGGCATATAGTACAGATTGATATCAGGTAGTGTAATACCTCCAACTTTGTTCTTTTTCAAAATTGCTGAGGCTGTTCAGGTCTTTTATAGTTCCATGCAAATTTTTGGATTATTCTAGTTCTGTAAAGTGCGCCATTGTTATTTTGATAGGAATTGCATTGATCTATTGCATTGATAATCAATTGCATTGATTGTTTTGGTTAGTATGGGCATTTTAATGTTAATTCTTCCTATCCATGAACCACAGTATATGCTTCCATTTACTTGTATCTTCTTCAATTTCTTTCTTAAATATCTTATAATTTTTCAAGTACAGGTCTTTTACCTCCTTGGTAATTTATTCCTAGATATTTTATTTTTTTGATGCAAGTTTAAGTGGGATTGTTTTCTTAATTTCTCTCTGATAGTTCATTATTGTTGTACAAAATGCAACAATTTTTGAATATTTATTTTGTATTCTACTACTTTACTGAATTCATCAATCAGTTCTAGTAGTTTTTGGTGGAATCTTTGACTTCTCTATAGTATATGTCATCTGCAAATAATGACAGTTTTACTAATTGCTTCCCGGTTTTGATGCCTTTTATTTCTTCTGTTTGATTGATGTGGCTAGGACTTGCAGTATTATGTTGAATAGAAAGGATGAAAGTGGACATCCTGTCTTGTTCCTGATGTTAAGGGAAATTCTTTTAGTTTTTCTTTGTTCAGTATGATACTCTGGGTTTGTCATATATGGCCTTTATTATGTTGTTATGTTCCCTCTATTCTTACTTTATGATATAAATTCTTTGCTGAGAGTTTATATCATAAATGGATGCTGGATTTTGTCAAATGCTTTTTTCTGCTACTACTGATATAATCATGTGGTTTTTATCCTTGATTTTGTTTATGTGGTGAATCATATTTATTTATTTGTGGATGTTGTACCAACCTTGCATTCCTGGAATAAATCCCACTTGATCATTGTGTATGATCTTCTTAATGCACTATTGTATTCTGTTTGTTAAAGTTTTTTGAGGGTTTTAGCATCTATGTTCATCAGGGATATTGTCCTATAATTTTCTTTCTTTTTACCTGGTTGTGGCATTAGGATAATGCTGGCCTCAGATAATAGCTTGAGAGTCTTCCTTCCTCTTGAATTTTTTTCATATATTTTGAGAAGGATAGTGCTAATTCTTCTTTGCATGTTTGGTAAAATTTACATTTAAGCCATTTGGTCCCCGATTTTGTTTGTTGGGAGTATTTTTGATAACTGATTTGATTTAATTTGTTGTAATTGTGGTTTCAGATTTTCTGTTTCTCCTTGATTCACTTTTGGAAGAGTGTATATTTCTAGGTATTTATCCATTTATTCCATAATATTGTGCAATTTGATGGCATATAGTTCATAATATTTTCTCAAAATTTTTGTATTTCTGCAGTGTCAGTTGTTACTTTCTGGTTTTATTTATTTGAGCCATCTTTTTTCTTTTTTATGAGTCTGGCTAAAGGTTTATTAATCATATTTATCTTGTTTATCAAAGAACCAACTCTTGGTTAACGTTGATCTGTGTATTGGTTTTTAAGACTCTCTTTTGTTTATTTTCTCTCTGATCTATATTATTTCCTTCTTCTCAGTTTGGGTTTGTTTGATAAATACAGGGTGTCAGTGAGTTTTATTTTTCCAACCAGTTCTTGATCCATGGTGCTGATGTGCTTTAGGCACCAGCCTCATTTGATGTAGAGTTGTTAACACTTAAAAAAGCTAAAGGGATCTAACCAGGACAAGTGTTCAGAGAAAATGAATTAGACTAGAGTAGATTTATTGATGTGGCAAAAGACTTTTCTCAAAAAATCAGATTTGGAAATGGTGTATTATTGGTGCCCCAAGAACTACTTTTTAGAGAAAGGCTCAAAGATGTATATTTGAAAAAAATTTTTGATTCTATTAATTTTCTTTGTAAAACACCTATAGACTATCTAAACATAAGGATTTTTCCATATTCTTCCCTTTGAGAGTAGATATTGAGAATAGAAGAGGGAACAGGAAGGAGAGAGAGAGCAGTGAAAAAAGGAATAGATAATATGGAAAGCTTGAGGGTTTGGGGAGGATAGGGAACAGAGGGATTCAAAAGGAGAAATTAGAAGACTGTAGGTAGGAAGAAAAATGATACTTGAAAACTTTTGAAAAGACAACAAAGAATTATGTTAAGAATAAAATACATAATAGGGAAAGAAACACAGTAAAAATTGTAGCTACTATTTACTGAGCACCCACCCATTATTGGCCCAGGCACTATGCCACATGTCCTTTCATTTCATTCTCAAAACCACTCCCAGTGGGTGTTGTGTTCCCCATGTTATGTGTGAAGACAGTGAGACTGTCAGGGGCCCAACAACAAGCAGTGAAGAAGTACTGTCTTGGCACTCTAGACTGAAGTTTTTTTGTACCAATTTCTGAACTTTTCCAAGGATTATTACTGTGTTATGCCTATTTTTTAAAAAATTTGAATTTTAAAAGTAAGCAGGAATAAAAGAGGACAAATACAGGTTCAATAGTAAGTTCTGTATCAGATGACGAAGTTATGAATTGAATGAAACTAGTGATAATTGATTAGAGGCCCTGTTACCTTTTCTCCCTGATCACCTTCCTCAGAAAGAGAAGTTTTTCAGAGACTTCAAATTAAGGATGAGTTAATCACATTTCTTTACCAGGCAGCAGGACAATGAAGAAGATGATCTTCTAGCACACTGTTGCTATTAAATTGCATATTTTGTTTTGAGTATTTTGTCAGGAAATCAAGTAATATATCATAATTATATAATCAGTTATTTCTTTTCAAAAGTAGTAACTGTCAGTGAAAAAGGAAAAGACATTTTTTAAAAATTAGAAATAGCCTTTGGAAAAAATGAAAATGTATTATTTTCTTTCCTCAAAAAATATTAAAATCAGTACAAGGAAGGTATAAATAATTAAATATTACAGGGATCTTACTCTCATTTCAGTCTTGCCATGACTATGATTAACTGTGGCACTAGAGGACTTCAAAGTTAAGTCTGAAATTTGAACGTTTTTAAAATCATAAAAGAATTCCTGAGACTGACATTCTTTTAGTACTTACTTTTATCCCTATTCCCTTTATAGTATCTCACAGATGCAAATAAAATTCTGAGAGTCTACCTCGATTGGGGTTTTGGCTTTTGCTGTATATAATGAATACCTTAATACCCAATTTTTTGAGGGAAAAAAACATGTGCATTATACATGGGTAGTACTAATTCTGTATCTAGATAAATGTTTTTAATTCTTTTATTTATACTTAATGCATTAAAAATGTAACTCTAGAAAGCAATAATGATATCTGTATGCAAAATAATACCCTGGAATATGGTAATTGGTCTCATTTCTAAATATAGATAGATAGATAGATAGATAGATAGATAGATAGATAGATAGAAAGATAGCTTAAAACGAAAGATTTTTTTTCCCCTGAAAGTTTGGTCCAAAAACATGGGTGCCCATTATACACAGGAGAACGTAATACACAGCAAAATATGGTAAATGAATTTCATTTATTCTGAGAAGCAGTTTTGATTACTCACACTTCTTGTGAGGCCTGTAAACTTTATTTTGATTTACTTAAGAGTTACTCATGTCAACCAGAAGTATGTTTTTTTCAATATAGAGAAATAAAATGTGGTATTAAATCTCTCTTCTTCTCCTTTGCCACTTATTCCCAAGGCTCCTGTTCAAAAGAGTACACTTATTCCAGTAATCCCCATCACCAAATCAACAGGCTCCCGGTTCCGGAACAGTGTGGAAGGACTAAATCAGGAGATTGAAATAATAATTAAAGAGACGGGGGAAAAGGAAGAACAACTTATAGTAAGTAATCCTTACACATTAACTCTTCTAATTATTAAAAAAATTCACAGGTTTTTTTCCCCCATATTTACTTAGGTGTCTTTCTTCTTGTTGAGAGAGAATGAAAATTTTTCTCTTGTGAAAAGCTTTGACTTTGGCAAGTGAATGAAACTTTTCATTTCTTGCATCTCAGAAACAATTGATGTGATTTAAATTTAGATTCTTGAACAGAAACTACTTTTTTGCTCATCTGTATTTAAAAATCACTAGACAGTATACCAATACTGTTAGTAGACAGGTAATATACTTCTAATTGCAATAACTCCATTTAACAAAAATTTAGCTTATTGATATGTTGGGGAAGGAGAAATATGATACAGGATCCTTTCTAAACCCTGAATCTGCCTGTTTCTTATTGTCACTTACTGTTTGATTAACTATAACATTGTGAAGTGCAGTTCTGCCTACCTATAATGCTTATAAGAATGTGCACTGTTCTGCTAACTATAATACACGTAGGAATGATTCATATGTAAAACACAGTGAGAAAATTTCCTGTTTATATTTAAAACCATGTTACAGAGTATATTAAAGCTTTTTTCATCAGTGAAAGAAGAATTAAGACCCTCTCCCTTAAAATTAAAGATTAGAGAAAGCTCAACTCCCCACACCCTCTCCTTCTCCATATTGCATGATAGAGGAACCTTTCCCTGATGTAATAAAGGTAAATGAGCCAGAGGTGAACATGGAGCTGGTTTCCCTGGTAAGTGTGCCCCAAAAGCTTTTTTCAGATTGTTCTTTTTGATTCCCTGTATAATTAGCACTGTCATGATTAACCTTTTCCTCATGTAGGGAGGTTTCTTTGAAAACACTCTTTCAGGAAGAGTTGACAAGGGGGAGAAGGTAACAGGGCCTGGCATCAGGTATCACTAGTTCCCACAGTGGATAACATTTTCTTCTGATACAAAACCTAGTGTTAAACCTAGATTTCTCACTTTACCATGGCCCTTCTTTATAATTTTTAAAGTAATATTTAGCTCATGATAAGTAATTCAGTGCAATTTATCATTCAGCAAGCATTGACCGCCTGTCAAGTGCCAGATCCATCCATGCTGCTCGATTCTAGTGGGGCAGTCAGATTAGACAGAGATGTCACTAATGGAGTAACACAAAGGCTTCTTTCTCATTAGACCTTAGTACTAAGTAGGGGATTTCTGATTTATAAATCTTCTGGAACAATGGGAAGGTCGACACTAGGGGCATTCTGTGTGAATTTCAAAATCAGTGATAAATATACATATATTTAAAAATTTTATAACAGCCACAAGATATTCCAGATGGCCATCGTGCACCTCCCCCCCTTGTACAGAGAAGTAGCAGCACACGCAGCATCGACACACAGACCCCTGGCGGGGCAGACAGGGGAAGCAACAACAGCAGCCGCTCTCAGTCTGTGTCCCCCACGTCATTCCTCACCATCTCCAATGAAGGTAGCGAAGAGAGCCCCTGTTCAGCTGACGACCTGCTTGTTGATCCCAGAGATAAAGGTACAATGCAGGAGGAATTTGTTACCAGATGATAAGGGAATATCACCTATTTTATCTTTTATCTTGTTTATTTTCTCGCAGAACACACCCACTTCAGGCTACTAAGGTAATTTCTCTGAGATGTTTCAAAACACAGATTTAAAAAAATGGGAGTACAGCAATGCCAGCGCAGCTCAGTGGGTTGGGCATTGTTCTGCAAGGTGAAAAGTCAGCAGTTTGAGCCTCAGTCAGGCACATTGGCTAGGTTGTGGGCCAGGTCCCCAATTGGGGGCATTCAAGAGAACCAATTGATGTTTCTCTCACACATCAATGTGTTTCTCCCTCTCTTTCTCCCTTCCTTTCCCTATCTAAAAATAAATTTCAAATAATTTTTTTTTTTTTTTGCATAGGAGTACAAAACAGTAGGGTTTTACTGTAGTGTGCTCAAGTTAGATGGTCAAGTTAGACGGGTTTATGGGCTTTTATTTGTTCCTTTTTTCTTTTTTTGCACCTGTTAATACAAATTCCTTATTAGTGAGAAGCATTCTTTTTGGTAAAAATGAGATGAACATTTGTCTTGAAAAGCCCTTTATTTACTCTGTCACCTTAGTGGGCATGTTTTTATTACCTATTATACTAAGAGTTTTTTAGGATCTTTATTTGTGATATTTCCTTTCTAACAAGAATCAAGCTGATTTATACCAATGCAGAATGAGTATTCAGGGGAAACCTGGAGTAAAAAGTTGGAGGGCTACTTAGAGTATTAAGCTACTTAAACAACTTGAAAAACAGCTTTGAGACCTAAGCAGTTTGAATTACTAATTAATTAATTAAATTACTAATATTCTTACCTTTTACAACAAGTAGGACCTTTCATCTGTCTATATGAGGGCAATATTTTGTTAGCCTAATCCAGCATGTGCTTCAGAACAACAGCAAGATACTTACTTGTAAATGCTACAGCTCAGTTCAGTAGTCATTTACTTAAGACCTCATACTCACAGTGTATTGAACATCCTAAACTGTTTCATTGTTATAAGTAGCCATTTCTACCAGTCACCTAAATTATTGATATTATAGCATGTCCAGAGAACATAAGATTTTCTGAAGAAGTCACTTCAAACTGGGCCATTGCAAAATGTTATTATTTGGACCCTTTTTGCCAGCTTCCAGGTTAAATAAAACATGGTTGTTCAAAGCCAGTACTCACCAGTTAAATCACAATCCCTGGGGGTTGTAGGACATAGGTACTAGAGATGCTCCGGTAATTTCAGTGTGCCTATAAGTCTGACACCTAATCAGTTAAATACTTTGATTGGGCCATGTGTTTCTTGTTAGGAATCTGCATAATTAACTACTTATATTTATTGTGAGAATTAAAAATTCTCCTGGTACTTAGTGCTCAATTAAATATACCCCCCAAAATTTTAAGAAACCATGGTTATTATAGTCTGCCCTTTGATAGTGCATCATAAATTTTGTGTTCTGCTGTATTTGATTTTAAGAGATTAGTGACTGGTTAGCTTCTGTGATAAGAAAACAGAACCACAGTGCTGCTCTCCGTGAGGAATTTGTAGCTTAGCTAATGCAGACTGAAAATTCAGAACACATATGTAACATATCAAGATATTTTAAGTTAATATAATATAAACTGAGGACATCAGTACTGAACAGGAATACCTGTTAAGAAGTGTTTTCTTTGATATGGTTATAATTTGGAAAGATTTCAAAAACTTTAAGCCCAGCATTGAAGGCATTTTAGGAGAGCCAGGAGAAAAGGATCTCTTAGATATAGAAAAGTTGATAGGCAAAAGGAAGTCTTTGGCATACAGTGCATGTATGGATCTGACTACCTGCAGCAGAGACTGTAACCTGAGTAGCTAAGAAATCAAACTGAGAAATTCTGAAGCGTAGCACACAAGTGCATTATAAACAGCCATTGAAGAAGCATTTCAGTTACTTGTACTGGGAAGAATGGAAGTGCCATTTTAGTTTGTTTGCTCTGCGTGGCATAAAAATAAATCAGTGAGAGGGGCCTAGGCTGTGATAATTTTAAGTGGAAAAGATATAAAAATCTTCAGTTTGTTTATGCATTTATTTAACATTGTCTCCTCTTTACCAGGAATTGGGTTAGATAACGGGATGATGTTCATGGGTACAACGCTGTTTCTACCTTCAAGTAGTTTATGGTGTTGGGGGGAAGCAAGAACAATAAAATACAATATGGCTATGCATTTATGTAGTAGTATTTCTTAGTAATCCAGCATGTCATTTATTGCAGAGAATGGGAACAACTCTCCTTTGCCCAAATACGCAACCTCGCCAAAACCTAACAACAGTTATATGTTCAAAAGGGAACCACCAGAGGGCTGTGAAAGGGTCAAAGTCTTTGAGGAATGCTCGTAAGTACTCCCTTCCCCTCAAAAAAACCAAAAAGCTTTTATTATGAGAATTTTCACATAAGCTAAATTATAATAGTATAGTGATCACCTATATAACCGCCACTTAGGTTCTGTAATAACATTTTGCTGTATTTGCTTTGTCTGTATGTGGTAGTGTTTTTGCTGAACTGTTTGAAAGTAAGTTGCAGACATCATGACACTTAACCTTAAAAACAATTTAATATTTGTTTCCGAAAAGTAACCACAGTACTCCTACATAACTATAATATCATTATCACACCAAAGAAAATGAAAAGTAATGCTTAATATCAACTAATGACCAGTTGTTATTCACATTTTCTCAGTTCTTTTCAACATATCATCTGTGGCTTTTATTTTCAAACCTGTATACAGTCAACATTACACTTTGAATTTAGCAGTGTATTTATTTAAGATGGAGCATAGATCTCACCCACAGTAGTTTCCTTCTTCCAAGGATCGAATTCCCTTTGGGTTTTTTTTAATCTACTCTTGGTGTTCAGTTCTTTAAACAGTTTTTAAAAATGTTTTGTCTGCCAGTACAGGAAACAATTCTATTACTTTGCTGAATCATGTCACAGTGATGAAGATAGTAAGAAGTAGAATTTTAAACTGGTGCTTTTGATGTGTGATCTATTCTCATATATTTCTATTGTCTGGTAGTAGTAAAGTAGTCCAATTTTAGACTCAAAAGTTGCTCAGAAAGTATTTTAGCCTTGGGTTTTCAGTAGCTGTGACATCCTGGCTTTATAAGCAATGGCTACAGCATTTTAAGTATGTATGATATGGAGCAAATTAGGTGAACATTATTTGGAAATATGGTGATAGCCCTTAGCCTGCCTTCACCTTCTAATATCACTATGGTTGCTAGTCTAAGAGCCACCCTTGTGGCTTTTTCTCACTGTGAAACCTGAAATACAATATGGTTATTATCCAGTCTTGTCCATTTCACATATCTTTTTCTTCCATTAGTAATATCTTAGAATCATTTTGAAATATGGTATCCTTTTATTCCTTTTTGAGCCCCTCCTGTCTGTGCTTCTTTTAACCTAAATTCTTAATAATTTGCCACACAAAGCATTGTATTTGAATTCCTTCAACTTCTCTACCAGGAAATCCCAACTGTCAGTCTCATGTCTGCTCTTGTGAAAGTAATTGAAAACTATTTTAGTAACTGCTTATTGAGTTTTTTACATCAGTCTAAAAGCTTGACTGGTGCCAGATAAGAGTTTATCTGTTTCTTAGATCCCTGCAATCATCTGGGGTAGTGGTTGAAACTGCGGATTCCCAGGCCCCACCCAGGCCTAAAGAGTAAATATGGAGATAGGACCTGGATTATGTACCCTTAACAAATACCTCATACAATTTTTATGCTCAGTTTCAAACTGCTGGCTTAGACGTTTTCATGAGAGTTCTTAAATAGTCATTCTACTAGTAAAAATCAGGTCGTCCAAATGGATCTTTTTGGAGTTGAGCTCTTTGATTTACTCATTGGTAGTTAAGATTTGCCTAAGTGCAGAGAAATTGTTAATTGACTCAAAAGCAATTTGAATTTCTTTTATAAATGAGTTTGAGTATTTGTTGTGTGGGTTGGTGTCTTGTATCTGCCTTAGACTATTGCATGTGGGAATTTTCACAAGACTCAATACCTGAGATATATATATTATTTATCTACATTATTTCTATTTAAAGGGAGGGAAGGAAGCACAGAGTTGTGTATTTGTGTGTGTGTGGATGGATGGATAGATGTAGATAGATAAATGGAACATAAGGTCAACCCTAACATAATATGTTTTATGTTATATTCATCTGTTAATAGAAAGTAAACTTAATCTTTTTTAAATGTACAGAGTTAATTATAAATTTTACTAATATAAAGGATATGTGGCAGACAAAAACCTATTCATTTTAAAAAATTTTCATTACGTTCTAAAAACAAATTAACAGCAGTAACCCAAGTAACCAAGAGTGGATTAGAGGTAACTTTAATCTGTAATCAATAAAACAAATAACTCAAAGTTTAAAAATTAGTCTCTTTTTGTACTACCTATGCCAAATTTAGAGCAAAACCCACTGGATTCACTGGCATTAAAGCGAAGGCCAATTATTGGTCCTAATTAAAAACTTTTGTTTATTTAATCATTCTTTAAATAATACTTTTACCTTTAAGTCTTACTTTTGGATTAAGGGAAGTAACTCTGACTTGAACTAGAAGTTGGAATGGATTGAGGGTTGATCTTTGGTTTCTAGAAAAGTATATTTATTTTCCTGAAAGAAAATAGGTAGTTGAATTTGGTCCAGAAAGCATAAGACCAGATTTTGCACTTTTTTCTGTCTCTATGTTCTGTTTGATACACATATACCATAGCATGCGACCTGCATTTAATCCTTTTCATTGAAGTTAGACATGCTGTTTCCTTATTCCAGCTAATGAACTCAATCTTAGTTACCTTAGATTCCTAGATATTATGGCCTCTTTTCAGTATACAGGTGTTTTTAAAAATACTGCATGACCCATCTTTTCTTCCTATCTCCCTCCTTCCTTCCCATTGTAAGTAATTTTGACTTAGCATTTTCTTTGCTGGTAATTTATGCCTGAATTTAAAAGAGGAAAAAGGTTACATAAGTCTTTTAAAAATACCACCAAAGAATTCCTAGCATCAATATGAAATTACCGGTAATTGTCCAGCCTATTCATCCATTTTTCAGAAAGTCAGCTAACAGGTATATCTATTTAAAGATATAATCCTTTTGGAATAACTTTTTAATAAAAAATAAAATTTTAAAACTATTTCTGAGCACTTTTGGGGGTTGGGTTTTGTTTTTTTGGTTTTTTTCTTTTTTGTAGTTATCATTCTTAAGTTGAAAACCTTGATGTATTGGGTTGGCCAAAAAGTTAGTTTAGTTTTTTTTCCATAAGATGGCTCTAGTTGCACTTATTTGTCTTTAACTTCATTCAAAACAACTTTGTTAGATTGTATTGTGACAGCTGTCATATCAGTGTACATAAAAAAAAACTTACAAAAATTGGTTAATTTTTGTGTAGCCATTTTAATATTGAAGATGGAAGAAGATATGCACCATTTCTGGCATATTGTGCTTTATTATTTCAAGAAAGGTAAAAATGCAACTGACACATAAAAAAAGATTTGTGCAGTGTATGGAGAAGGTTCTGGAGCTGATCAGATGTATCAAAAGTGGTTTGCAAAGTTCTGTGTTGGAGAGTCCTCACTGGGGACAATGCCCCATGGTCAGGTAGACCAGTTGAAGTTGATTGCTATCACATTGAGACATTAATTGAGAACATTCAGTGTTATACCATGTAGAAGATAACCAACATATTCAAAACACCCAATTCAATGAAGTTATTGGTGAAAATGAAAAGTGTGTCTTTTAGTTTACAGAAAAAAAACTAAGTGAACTTTTTGAGCAGCCCAATAATATTAGTATTTACAGCTTCTATTGGCGTCAGTCACACACTGCAGAGGTGGGTAGTGTGTTTCTTGGGAAATGTCCTTCCAGAAGTTAAATGTTAGAGGTCAGGAATGATTCCTCTTAATGGGAAGAGTAGTGACTGAAAGATGACATAAGGGGAGGGCTTTCTTAGTTCTTTTTTACTCTTAATGTTCCGTTTTTTGATCTGGATGCTAGTTAGACAAAGTTACTGTTCATATTGTTTTGTATAAATATTTTCTTAAGTCTTTTCATGAAAGCAGCAAGGATATTAAGCTCTTGAGATTCTCTTCTTTAAAAATATCAGTTAAAAAGTTTATTTGTATTTCAAAAATGTTAGGTTTCATCCTCAAGATCTGTTAGTAGCTACATGTCTTAAGTAATTTTTAAGAAGATAACCTCAAACAAATTAATTACCTCGGTTAAAAACTAGGATTCATTTGGAGAAGGGTATAAAAATTGATTAGCCTCCCCACAATATAAGTAAGTTATCTCTAATAATTCTGTCTTCAAAAGAAAATTCAGGCCCTGGCTGGTGTGGCTCAGTGGGTTGAGCATTGGCCTATGAACTGAAAGGTTGCTGGTTCAGTTTCTGGTCAGTGCCCATGCCTAGGTTGTGGGCCGGGTCCTCAATTGGGGGTGTGCAAGGGACAACCAGTTGATGGTTCTCTCACACATCCATATTTCTCTTCTTCTCTTTCTCCCTTCCTTCTCTCTAAAAATAAATAAATAAAATCTTTAAAAAAGATAAAAGAATACTAGGGCATATTTCACTTCCTATCTTCTTTAAGCAATTGAAAACTATACTCTCAGATAGTAAAAATAGAGGAGTGTGTCCTCTTATCAGCAATATACCCAAATACATTTGGAGCGTAAAAGTACTTGACGAGTTAAGTTTCTGTTGTATCCAAGAAAGAGTAGTGTACAAATAAAATATAAATGATGTAATTTTTTAAAAATTTAATAATATATTTTATGTAACCCAGTGTACCAGACATACTGTCATTTCAACATGTAGTCAATATAAAACATTATTCATGAGATATTTTACATCCCTTTTATTGTATCAGGTTGTCAGAATCCAGTGTGTATTCCACACTGATGGTACATCTCAATTCCGACAGGCTACATTTCCAATGTCCAGTAGCCACATGGGGTTCATGACTACCCTGGGGGACTGGTCAGACATGGAGCCTTCCAAGGCGAGGTGTGGGACTAGTATCCATGTAGATCCCATGTGGAGCACTGGGATTTATCTCATTAAATCCCCACAATGCTTGGAGGTAGGGGATATTCAGTCCACTTCATAGCTAAGAAAGCTGAGGCTCAGAGAGGTCAAGTGACTGGGCTGAAGTCACACAGTGGCTGGGACCAAGGTCTGCTGCTCTAGGCCTCTGCTCTCAGAACCTTCAGGTGGAGGTTCAGGCTCGAGCAGACCAGCGAGGTGAGGTGTCAGCTGGAGCTGGGCCTGTCCATGTGAGCCTACTCCCTCATGTAATTTCTTATTCTTAAATTACTGTTTGTTAAAGCTATTGATTGGTAGTATTCACTATTAATTGATAATATCTATCCACCTAAAGTACTATCTATATGAAGCTATTTTTTCTTTTAGCACCCACTCCCCAGATCTGTTGTTCATTCATTCTTAAAACCCAGCTGAGGTGTGACTTCCTTTGGAAGGCTGCTTCTCCCACACTCTCCCTCTTTCTTTGTGCCACAGGTTATCCACACTCCCTTGTGCTACTTTTAAACCTTTTATACCATGTCTGTCAGATCCTCTTGCAGGAGTTCTTAATCTTTTTGGTGCTATGGACACCTTTGGTAGCCTGGTAAAGCTTATGGATACTTTGAAGTAATGTTTAACTTTTCTGAATAATGTTTTTCAATGCATTAAACACATAGGATTGCAAAGGAGACTAATTATATTGAAATATAGTTCTGTCCTTAGTGCCTCCTCCTTTCAGTATCTGCATAGTCTATCCATTGTAGATTGTTTCATCTTTGGGTCCCTCAATTTTAGTGCAGGCTTGGCACACTCAGACTTTTGTTGTTGTTTATTAGGGGATGAGAACCATGCATTTATAATATGGTATTATTTTTTGTAAACCTGAATCTTGTTTTATTTAAGTTCTCCCACCTCAATTTCTTTTTAATTTTGTGGCATTTCTACGTTACTTTAACATTTTTTAAAAAATTTTCATAGAATACCATTAACACTAATATCCATTTCCAACTATTTGGGTTAATTTTCAGGAGCACCTGGGGAAAGGGAAGGATTTGGCTTAAATAAAAATTTCAGAGCAAGGTACTGCCATTAGTTTTATTTTGATTTTACGTTTCTATTATGTTCCTCAGAAAACGATCATGGTTAACTCAAAGAATTGTTTCAGTCAAAGAGATTTTTAAGTGCACTTGAAAATTTGGGTCTACCAAAGTTTAGTCAGGCCGTAGTGGAACTTCGCAAAAGATGGACATTGTATGTCATTTCTTTGTCCTCTCCCTTCACAATAGTACAGACATGGAAAATCATGGTAGTGGAACAAATTTTGTCTTTAAACATTTAGAATTTCTTTTACTTTAGGAAATTCTGTATTCACAGTATCTCAGATCTGTGTCTAGATGCAGTGGTCATCAGCCTGAGCTACCTGTGGTACACAGGGCTCGCCAGGGCACTGGAAGCAGCAGCGTGAATGGTGCGTGTGGCATTCTGACACACATATTTAGAATCATGTGTCTAATTCCACTCTGGTCAAGAAAAAAAAAGCATTTGAAGCTTTTGACATAGTCTGAGTTTTCTGTTTCTTTTATGTATAAGTTCTCTGTCTAAAAAAGTAATAAAAGAACTTATTTCTAGTTTTCGTGACTTAAAAGTATTGGGTTGTCTGTTCGATGTCTAGGCCAAAACAACTTCACGAAATCCCAGCCTTTTACTGTCCTGACAAAAACAAGGTGAATTTCATTCCTAAGAGCGGCTCTGCTTTCTGCCTCGTCAGCATCCTCAAGCCACTCCTTCCCACACCAGATCTTACCCTCAAGGGCGCTGGCCACAGTCTGACAGTCACCACTGGTATGACAACCACTCTGCTGCAGCCTATCGCTGTGGCCTCTCTGTCTGCAAACACAGAGCAAGACCGAGTCTCTCGAGGAACAAGTACAGTCATGTCATCCACCTCTCTACTTACACCACCAGAACCGATAGAGGAAGCTGAAGGATAGATCCCAGTGCTGCGCAGACATTGTTCCCTCAAATCTCTTGACTGTGATGGCATCATGAGCTCCCCATTGGCTATGACGTGCTCCACCTTTTCACAGTGACACGTCACTGTACAGCTTCTGGAAGGAAGCAGCCCTCCAATGGCTTTGCTCACTATGAAGACCAGCCCTCAGTGCTTAGCCTGCTTTTTCCTAAAGTGCTGGTTGAAACAAAAAAGGTCTCCTTCTTTACTTTTGGAGGGCTGATATCACATTGCTTTTTGTTTTCAAATTAAACTTTAGAAATAAAAACACAACAAAAAAACTGACCCCTGCAAACATGATTCCTGGAGTCGTGAATGATGCTGCAAGAACCATCTTTTATATGGAAATGACTATTTTATAATGCCAATGTTACATTTTCTGAAATGTAGCAAGCAGATGTTCAAAAGATTCTTTGGTGGCCTCTGTTTCTTGTTTCCTTTTCTAGATGTGTGCTTTTCTCCGCTGTTTTCAGCTCTGGGACCAAAGGGATTGTTGACATTTTCCCAGCAATCTTAATCTCATGACTATGTTTTTCTCCCAAACAAGAATTGATAGGTAAATGCATTGAACAAGTATATGTAAAAAGAAATAAAAAGCAATATTAGTACATTATGTGATTTATGTTTTTTGATGTCAGAAGTTTGTGCTTTGGGTGAAATATTTGTAAAACTGATGTTTTCTTCACTACTCCTATACACATTTTACCACGTGGTCAGAAAAATTGTAGTCTGGAGATGAGTGCTTAATATGTTCTCACCCATCATTGGAAGTTGTTGGTTTAAAAGTCAGTGAGCCAAAAGGAAGCTACCCAGTGCTGACTGCTAGCTAGGAGTAAGGGGCCCCTTTGGTTTTCTGCGCAGTATTTGTCACATGGTCCCTCTGTACCACAGGTGTCATTCTACCTTTAATCATCACTGTATCATAGTCCCAAGAGATCCTAAGTGACTGTGCATGGATTTCCTCCTTTGCTTTCGTGATGTTGTCTTGTGGATTTGGTCAGGGTTAGTAGTTTGCCAGGAGTATATTCCACTGAATAGCAATCCGTAGTCACAGAATCTTGCGACTGACATTTCCTTTTTTGATAGTTGGCACTGAGATATATTCCCTACAGGTTTTGCTAGTTGTCCCTCCAACATTCCACACAGTGGGGAAAGCAGGCAAAGGAGAGTTTTGGAGCATAAACAACAGGGACCTTTGAAATGTCCATCCAGTTTTGGATTTAGGCTCATTCTAATATGGTCACTGCCAATACCACATGTCAACAGTATTTCATGTCTTGGTATGTGGTAGTAAAATTAAGGATCACCTCTTTTAAAAAGTGAGTTTCAGGAAACTGTTGATTTAAAAAAAAGCATCCTTTTAAGGTCTTCATTTACTACCGTATGATGCAATAATTTAATGTTCTTATACATAATTAAAGGGAGAAGAGTTTAAATACTTGTAAAAGGGATACAGTTCAGAGGGTTACTGTCAGTTTATGCAGACATATCCCATCAGATTTATGGGATATGTCTGGATAAACCTAGTGGTAGCAATAAGTCTTCTGAAAGGACGTCTTAAACACCTTTAAAACATCTAATAATAAAAAATACGCCCTGTTAAAGTTAAAATGGACATGTATTTAAGGAAGTTAGATAAATTCAAACATAAAAGTCTTGTCAGATTAGTTGATGAGACTGATGAATTTTGGTACCTTTTTTGTCAGAAAATGACTTACTTGGAATTAATACATTGTGGCTTCTAAATCAGTGAAAGCCCAGTTATTCAGAGTGTAACCTTTCTGGTTGGTTTATTAAGAACCCTGAGTTTTTGCCTTTGACTTTACCATTTCACCACAGAGAACTGCTCTATCAGAAGTGCAGAAAAAAGTAAAACTGAAATCAGATGAGTCAGTTTGAATGGTAGGAAGAGGAAGTTAAAAACAGGTTACAAAAAAACCCATCAGTTTTTGGATTATCTGAGATCTGTTAAATCCATGTTCTGTTCTTTGCTTCACACTTAACTTTCTTCTCTCTCCATCCCTACAAGTTACAAGGGTATTTTACACTTTAAAATGCCACTTGGTAAAGTTTTTTTTCCTTTTACTCTGTTGTGCATAATTGTCTAATTCACATTTTTCTGTAGTTTCATATATCCTTAATCTAAAGTAATTTAAAATAGGAATGGGAGAACACGTTTATTATTTACATAGTCTTATAAATGGAACTTCTGATGTTTGGTTGTAAGGAAAATGTGAATTTGTAGGTAAATTAATTGTATGGCAACCAAGCATATACCTTGGTTTTGGGAGAAATAGAGCCTGAGATTTGAAGAATAAAAAAAAAGGTACAGAAAACTCGAACTGCCAGTGCCAAAGGGCTAATATTTAAACATAAGAGCTTTATTGCAGTCTTGAAAAAATATTAACCATAGGTCCATTCAGCTTTATTTAACCCTTAGATCACAGTTGGTGGATTTTATTTAAACGGGTCTCAGTAGAATGCATAATAATTGTTTTCTAAAACTACATTCCATAATTATCGTTATTCTACAGAAAACTGTACAGGAAGTAAGTAAATTAGAATAACTTCAACAGGAATATAATTTAAAATTTTTCAATTTTAAATAAATTTATTTCCCTTGCAGTAAAAGAAATAGGTGGCATATATATATTTCAGCAAAAAGGAGCTATTCTGTGGTTATTTACTTTGTCACTTTTTTTTTTTTTAACCTTTAGTTTCTTGAGGTGACTGAAACATGTAAATTTACTGTGGTTGATCATGACTAAGCCTATTGCTTGTCATGGCTTTTGTGAGCAATTATATTTTAAAAATACCCGTGCTTCCTTTTTGGTTAATATTGTGAGCATGGATGCCAAAATTTTTTTGATCTAGATTCTTAATTTTGTTTAAAATATTTTTTATATTTATGACAAGCCAAATAGGCCTTTTAGAAGGTACTGTTGCTACCTGTGGAATAATTGGTATCATGAAAGCCTTTTTGTTTTTAATGGTTAGCTTTTACTCAAAGGAATAAAGAAATGGCAGAATTTATAGCCTTGTATATGTCCAAGATTAGGACTGGGTTGTCAAGATTTTCTTTTATTAAAGGAAATTGAAGAAAAATTGCCACTACTGAATTTAGCTTCACTATTCTAAATTTAAGATTCATTTTTTAATGCTCGGAATTTTGATGTCTCAAAACCGGACCAGTGAAAGTGTTCAGTTTGCATTAAGCTAAGAATACTTAGCTCTGCACTTTAAGGTTTTAAGTTTTACTCTGCCTAAATTAATGATAAGCAGAGTAGCCCTGAACAATACTTTGTTTATACAATCCTGTTGAAGACTATAATTTATGTTTTTTTAAAGTATATTTTTCACCTTTGTTGAAGCTGTATAAATCTTTTTTAAAGGCAATTTTTAAAACTTTGTTTTTCTAACAAAATTCTCCCCCAAAATGGCATTTCCAATGTGATAAATATTGTTACTATGTACTTATGTATTCCCTGTATCTGAATACTTGTTGCTGCCTCACAAGAAAATAGAACTTTTATGTTAAAAATAAAGTCTGTTTACTTGAGAGTTTTTCCTGTGTACTTTTATGAATATTGTCTCATATTTATATTTTCTTTTCATATACTTCTAGCCTGAATTAACTTATAATGTATTTTCACAAATTAATAGAAAAAATGAGTTTGTGTTAATAAGTAGCAGGGTATATATGTAATATTGTCAGTTGTTACGTCCTTGCTTCTTCCTTGCTTGCTCTAGATTTTAAAGTACCTGATCTTTGTGGTAAATGCTAATAAGCAAACATTAAATATTAGCAAGTTCAGAGAAACATATACATGTCTACAAGTAATTCAGTATTTCACAGTTTAAGAAAATTTAACTGAGGCAGTGACTTAATTTTTTTCAGAAATACACATAAGAGGTTTTTTTTTTCTTTTGTTTTCGCAATTCATTCTTGCTAAACCAGCCTCATCCTTCCTTTGTGACTGGGCTAAGCTGAAGGGTTTAACCTCTTTGCACACAATTGGACTAGTCAGATATGCTCCTAGGAGGACTCAGTGCTGTATAACAATATACTTAGAAAGCATGGACAACTTTTAAGGGAAGTTTAAAATGTCACCATGGCTGTCAGTCATAAAAAGTGGCCACCAAATTACTTTGTAAAAAAACATTATTGTTGGAAAAAGTTAACCAGAATTTTGGGTAATTGTGTGTATGTGTTATATTTAACATAGCATCAAATGTAGAGAATCTCAAAAAATGGTTCAAGTTTTCTCCCACTCTTTTCTCTCTGTCTTTTCCTACCACCTTCAAAGAGGTTGAAAGGAGTAAATGCAGATCTCGAGCTAGATGTTCCCCTCTAAACCCATTTATTTGATTTCTTTTTTTTGCTTTGATTCGTTAGTAATAAATATAGAAAAAAAAGTTTTTATGGCTATAATGATCCTTTCCTTTCGATTGCTTTTAAGTAGTGGGATGTGAAATACTTACTGTACATTCTTCATAGCAGTGTTCTAGCATATGCTGTAAGTCCTCATTTAATGTCATTGATGGGTCCTGTAACTTGTGAAATACCAGTTTTACTATATAGGCAATACTGATTTTACCATAGACAAATTGATAAAAACAAGAGTTAAGTTCCTACAGCATCTCACCATTGTTAAAATGAAATGATGTTTTTGAGGACCTGCTGTATATCATTATCAGCTTTTTTCTTGCTAAGATTAGGTGTGCTTTTAAATAACTTTTAAACTTCTAATAGAGCATGGTATGATAATACAAATAGCCTTTTTATCTCCTCTGTTCAGTGTTTTTAAAACTGGTTCTTGAAATGAATTAAATGGGTCCAGCCAAAATTTTTCTAATGAAGTAGAATAGAAAACAAGTATATTCACACATAAGGAGAGTAATATTTGTGTGTTAAACTTTTGCTGGAGATAGTCTTGTGACATATAACAATGCTTCAGTAAATGATAGGTTGCGTATATGATGGTGGTCCCATAAGGTTATAATGGGTCCGAAAAAGTCCTATCACTTAGTGACATCTTAGCTGTCATAATGTTTCAGCACAATGCGGTACTCGTGTTTGTCGTGATGTGGGTGTCAACAGACCTGTGCTACCAGTTGTATAAATTTTAGCACACAAAATTCTGTATAGTACATAGTAATTGATAATGAAAAATGAGTGTTCCTGTTTTATATATTTCATACAGTCATATTTTAGTGTTTCTAATAATTTTCTAATTATAAAAATTTTTCTGTAGAACAGTTTAAAAGTTTTCTGTATGCTGACATGCGCAGCCTTGTACATCTGTTTATTGAGTTTTTGATTGCATCATTTTCTCATGTTTGATGTATAAATTTGGTGCAACATAAGTATACAGTGTTTATTATAAAGTCTGCAGTAGTATGCAGTAGTCCTAGGCCTTCACATTGACTTACCACTCACTCACTCACTGACTCACCCAGAGCAGCTTCCAGTCCCACAAGCTCCATTCATGGTAAGTGCCTTATATAGGTATACTATTTTTAATATTTTATCATTTT